TCAACAGCCATCAGCAAGGAAATGCAAACTTTACTCTGGGAACCCTTTGGAGCCCAGTGCTTTTATTAAGCAAGCTTGTGGCTCATCTTCCCACTTACACAGAGGCAAGAGCTTACAGTAAAATAAAGCATCTGTTTTTCAGCTACACATGGATTCCTAGCCCTTTCTAGAGACTAATCCAGAGTGAATAATTAGTCTTTATTAAAGCATCCCTATCTGAAAGGTATTAAACTCCTCCACCACTATTTCTAATTATTTTTTCTATTATTCTCTGAGTAGGGGCAGGTGACTCCAATTTTATCTGCAGCAGGATTCCAGTCTTCCTTGCTCCACTTGTATCTTTTCATCTAGCACATTCCTCTGTGGCTGCAGAACTTCATGCTTCCCTCTCAGCCTAGAGGTGAGAGCGAGGAGCAGAAGTTGCACCATGTAATTATGGTTATTATGCCAGCTAATAGAGCTCCTCATGGCACAAACACTGCTGGGAACAGCTCTGCTCTTGCTCTTGGAGGCTTGGCACAGATCTGAGTCCAAGCCCAGATCTGAAGAGCAAAGCCCAAACCCTGCCAGCTCACACATGGGGCCAAACCTTTCCCTGGGCTTGGGGAAACCTCTGGGTTTTGGAGTTGAAGCAGGATTAGTGTAATGTTGTGCTGAAATGTGTGATCCAAGCAGACAGTGCTCAGACTTCAGGTCTACCAGCTTTCCTCCTGCACTTGGACTCAGTCCATTGCCTTGTCTACCAAAACAAAAAAAAAAAAAAAGCTTTTAAGTGTAATCTCCAGGTTTGAGTACTACAGGTTTGCACTCAAACCCTCACTCTTACGTGTATTTTGCCCATCCAAATGACAGGCAATATTCTAGTGCTGTCTCTTTCTCTCTCCCTTTTGTCTTGACAAGAAACTGCTCTCATGCTGTTTTGCTTTTAGAAAGATGAGCTAAATTCACACACATTTATACAACAGTTTTATGAGAAGTCCTTCAGTATGGGATAAAAAAGAATCAGAGGTGGCAAAGTTGTGACAGAATTTGGATGTGGTTAATTGGATCTACTTATTTGCACCATTTTTTACTAACTGCCTGTGTCAGTCCTGGGCTCAGAAGGCAATTTAACTCATTGCCTGTGAAAAATGAAATGACAGCAGCTACTTGAGTGAACTTTCACATTAAGGAAGCATGATCTGCTCTTGATCAAAGACCTTGTGCTCCTGGAGGACCAGAGTTCAAGCACCAGCCTCTCATTTCAAGAGGAGAAAAGGTTTCTGTGTCATTGCAAGGTAAATTTCAGAGTTTGAGGCCAAGGTAAACTTTGATGTCAGCACTGTCAGTGACCCTGTGCTGAAGCTTCACTTGATCATCTCTCCCTTTAATTCTCGCTGTCATATTCTGCCTCCTGCTCAGCCGAATTGGCTTCCCCATTTCAGCAGTGAGGAGTGATGTTATCACTTGTGCATCACGTCATGCAGCTTGTACCAACAAAACAAGCTCTGAGGAGTGGGGTTGGCATCCAAGACACCAGCTTTGGGTGCCAACAAGCCATAGAATTGTCCTTGCAGGTCTGGTGTAACCAGAACAGCTAATAAACCTCTGGAATGCTGATGCTGTGGTTGATCTGGTCACACCAGAGAAACCATCTCTTGCAGCTGGGATGGCAGGAGCCAAATCATGAGCAGCTGATAGCAAAGGCCACTCTAGAGATGTGTTAATGTGGCTGTTGCTGTGCTGAATAATCACTGTGACTCTGTACACTGTCTCCACAACCCACCTGCTGAAAACTTTTTAAGCATTTGGCGTCATGACAATATTGATTGGAACCTCAGTACACCCACGTTGACAATACAAGGGGTTGAAGCCATAGCAGCAGTCATTTTGCAAACCTCAGCACCACTGGTGATGGGTGTAAAGCCATCATGAAAGTTATTAGAAGAAGACAAATGTTGTTACAGATGGATTTTAGCTCTGCAAATAGAAGCGAATGGAGGAGTGAATGAAAAAAGCCAGATGCAAGGATGGTCAAAAGAGCAAAGGTCCATCCTTTTCTATTTTGTTACCTTCAGCCTGCCCCAGGAGGAGTCAGATGCAGCCTTCCCAAGGCCTGACAGCACTGCCATTGCTGCCCATGCAGTGTGACACCTCTGGGTGCTCTGCAATCCCCAGGGCTCCTCCTCAATGCTGGGTCTTGCTCTGAAAGCCAAGACATCTGTGAAAGGCAGCACCAGATCCTGGGTGGGTAGAAGTTAATTGGAAGGTCTAGCTTGCAAATCAAACCAGAGAGAGATATTTCTGCAGGAACCAGGAGACAAACTCAGCTCATGCTGGAGATGAAGGGTGCCCTGAGCCTGGGGCTCCTGTGAGTTCCTGGCTGTGCCCCAGGAGTGTGGGGTCAGCCCAGGTGAATCATCTGGGGCTGCTTCCCCAGCTGTAGAGCAGGGTAATGCTTCTGTTCTCACCTCAGCTTGTCTCCTCTGTTTAGATTTCAAGCTCCTCAGGGCTGTGTCTGATACGTGTATGTACAGTTCCTGGCTTAATAGAGTCATGATCCAAACTGAAGCCTCCAGGCACTCCTGGATATTATAGCATTGCTAATTTCACAAGAGGTTGCAATCAAATTCCTGTATAAGGGGAAAAAACCCCTGAAAAATCCCATAAAGGAATAAAGCAAACTATTAAAAACTGAGGAGCATTTTTGCTGAAGTGGAAATAATGGTACTTTGTCCCAAAATGTATAAAATATGTATTGCAATTAAATCCTCTATTGGCAAATTGCTCTACAATTAAAAAACACAGAAGCTTGAGTGAGGCAATTAGAATAATAGTAGAGTGTTAATTATAGCTTGATGGATTCTGCATGCTGTCAGCAATTACCTTCCAAGTGTGCACTTCTGAACCGACTCCAAATCCACAAAAAGACACCGGCAGAATTAGAAGTATCTTCCGTGTTGGCATGCCTCTGCCATTTTAAAATTTGTTTTCATAAATACTTTTATAAGCTATTTAATTAGATTTAATGAGGTTTGAGGAAGAAACATCCTCCATGCTGCACACAGGCTCCAGCACAGGCATTGACTTGGGGATGAGGGAGAGCACAACTGGGAAGAGCCTCATTTCCTCCCAGCTGCCCTTTTCTCTGTGCAAGGATATCTTGCAAGGTAAATTTCAGAGATCTTGTGCACATCCGAGGTGATTGGACCCAGGTTCCAGCAGATTTGCTCCTAGCTTTGTGTTTTATTAAGGTTATCTAAAAATTTTGGATCTTTCTCTCTCCCTATGGGAAACCCCAAACTTACCATCTTGCCCTAATATTAAAAAATATTGACATGAATAGTTGAAGTTAATTAAAAAGCCTGGTTGTCAAATCTGAGAACACTTTAAAAGAAGCAAAAAAGTCTCTTCATTTCTATGGTACCATCCCTACTGAGCAGGAGAAATCCTCTCCATAAAAATGCTTTTGGGTCCAGCGGAAGATTTGACTGCTGTGTGTGTCAGGCATCTGTGCATTGTGTCAAAGACAATTCATGGTTCCATTGACCACTTTGTAAGAAATCCAGAAGAAAAGGAGAATAGGCAGGGGGTGGGAATGTCCTCACCCAGAGTGACAGCTTCCCAAAATTGTGTTTTTCTCACACCTTCCCTCACACCATCAAGGCAGCATTTCATTACTGTGAGCACTGGTGCTGATGGTTGAGAAAGACCTTGCAAGATTTTTGCTCAGTTTTGGGACTGCAGGCAGGAATGCTGAAGCCCAGGCATTCAAAAGCCAAATTGCTCATCACTCTAAAGGCTGGCTTGTCACCTGCCTTCCCCTTCTGTCAGTTGTTGATAAGGCTCCAGTGTGCTGCCTTTTCTTGCTGCTGGTTCTTACTGATGGGTATGGAGAACAGCTGTGCCTTCACCCTCTCATCACACTCATGGAGCTGCAAAACTCCACGTCCTGCATGGGGAAGAGACACTGAGGCTTTGACATGGGACTATCACAGCCTGTGGGCCAAATGGAGTTTCCTTGGTTGGGATACCAGCAAATTCAACTTCATACTTGTTTATTTTGCTCAGCTGAACTTACTCTCTAGGTGACAACAATCCAGCTTTGATGCCTTTCATGAGTACAGGTTAGGTCCCACTCTGAGCAGCCTGAAATGCCATTGCCCTGGGATTTTTTGGGAAAGGATGAGCAGCATGATTGGAGCATCCTGCAGTGCAACGCCCCATTCTGTCACAGGAAGGAAATTCGGCTCTGTCCCTGCACGCAGGAGGGATCTGCACTAAAAGGTTGCAAATTTAATTAAAGGTGGCAGAAACAGGATTGCCCTGTGATATCTAAAATATCAGGGCAATGTGATTTAACTCCTTACAGCAGTAAGGGGTTAAATCACACTGGCCTGATATTTTAGATATATCCTGCCGTAAGGAGTTAAATCACATTCTGCCCTCCGTGGGTGCGCTGAGCACTCCAAGACCTTCTTTCTCTAAAAGCTGTGCTGGGCCACGTCCAAACCTGTCCCAGGGCAGTGGATGCTCCCCGGTGAGCTCGGGAGCGCCCCTCGCTCGGTGCGGTCCTGGAGCGCAGGGATGCTCCGAATGAGCCGTGCCCGCGATGCTGCGGGTACAGCACCGATGGGTCAGACTCGGACCCGCTGCGGGCTCGGTGCCCTCTCCATCAGCCCCGAGCTGGGTCCCCACCTACGGGCACATTTGGGACCCGCAGCCGGGAACGCGCGCCAAGAGCTGACCCGCTCCTGCCACGCGTGTCCGTGCGAGTGCAGCCCCACGGCCGCGTCGTGGCGTGCAGAGAAGGACAGTCCGGGGTGCAGGGATGCCCCAGGCGCGGGTGTTCCCGGAATTGTAGGGATTTACGGCCGGGGGATTCGGGAGCGCGGGTGCGAGCGCGGGGCGCGGCCCCTTTAAGAGCGGCAGCGGCGGGGGGGGCGCCCGCCCGCGTTCACACCTGGAGTGGGAAAGGGGGGCGGGCCCCGCCGCCTGTGATTGACGGGTCGCGAGCACCAATGGGGCGGCGCGGCGCCGCGAGGGGGGGACTCCAGGCCAATGGCGGCGCGGCGGGGGCCGCCCGGCAGCCAATGGGCGGGCGCGCGGGGGGCGGCGCGGCTACATGTTGCGGTGTCGCCAACGTGGGTCCGCGGCGAGCGGCGCTCGGGCCGGGCGGCAGCGGCGGCGGCAGCGACCCCGCGGGAGCGCACCGGGACCGGCCGGCGCCCGCCGAGCCTGAGGCGTGCGGCGCGGAGCGGCAGGAGGAGGAGCAGCGACAGCAGCAGGCGGCGCTTCCCGCGGCGGGGACGCGGATTTGACCCGCCCGGCAGTGCCCGGTGGATGCCGGTGCCGTAGCGCCCCGCGGGGCCGGCGGCCGAGGCGATGCTGCGGGCGGCGGAGCGGCGCTGAGCGCTCCCGCCGCCTCCTCCTCTCGCCGCGGACGTTGCCCGGTGCCGGATACAAAATGGCGCTGCCGTCACGGGCGGCGGCGGCGCTGCTGCTGCTGGGGCTGCTGCGCTCGGCCGCCGGCGGCTGCCCCGCGGGCTGCGCCTGCGGCGGGGACACGCTGAGCTGCGGCGGGCTGGCGCTGCCCGCCCTGCCCCGGGACCTGCCCCGCTGGCCGCGGCACGTGTGAGTACCGGGGGCACCCGCGGGAACGGGGCGGGGGGTTCGGGCAGCCAAAGCAGCGCTCTCTGGCTTGTTGTCAAGGCTGGAGAACTTAAAACAGAAATCCCCGCGAAACTCCGAGTTAAGCTTCCCTTAAACAACTGGGCTGCGCGGTGCGGGATTTGTCCCGGGATCCGGTGTCCCTCTGGCACCCACCGGAGCGGGGATGGGGAGATGGAGGCGGCGGTGCGGTGCTGGTCCCGGGTGAAAGCTGCGGTTCCCTTCGGGGCTGGCCTCCGGTGTCCCGGAGGAAAGGGAGCCGGGAGCGGGTTGGGTCTCTCGGCGATGGGATCTGCTGGAGATAATGGCCAGCTTGGGCTTCCGAATCCTTATTAGGGCATCGTCCGTCCATCCATCCATCTGTCCGTCTGTCCGCGCCGTCCCGGAGCTGCGGAGTGGGGCGCGCCCCAATCCAGAGCCCAGCGCCGCGGCCGCGCCCGCTCTTTAGTGTTGGCTTTTAACGCTGCCAACTTTTTCGGCTGTGAAATTCGGGGAAAGAAAGGGAGGCGAGGGTTTCTGGGGAGTTTCGGTAAAACCCAGGTGTTTTCCAGCCGCGGCTGGCTGCGCTCCCTCCGTGCTCGCTGTGAAGCGAAGTCATTCGGCTGCGCTGTATCGTGTGTCCTGGGCGGCAGTGAGCTCAGAGCCCCGCACCTGGGGCTTGCTGCGGCACCCTGAGATGGTTTTTATCCCTGGAAAAGTGTTTTAAAGTGCTCGGGTTGGTGTCCAAGTGCAGGACGGTGCCTCTGCCATTTCCCGGGAAAAGCAGCGCGTTGTGTGACCGCTGCTCGGGGAAACCGAAATACAACATCGGACACTTAACTCTCAGGAGATTCGGGGGGGAAAATGTGCTCAGCATTGACAGTTCGAGTGGTTTAACAGTCCAGGAGGACTGAGAGTATCTATACGCGCTCACAAACTTGTTAAAAAGTGTCCCGAACTGTTAGTTAACTTCGGGAAATCAGTATCCAGAAAGGGAAAGGGAAACAGCGCTTCTGCTGCGGGGCCTTTCTGCTGTTTGAACAGATTCATAAATTATCGAATCTCTGAAACCCCTGGTTGTAATAGATACTGCTCAGCCCGGCCAGGAGAGAGGATGGCCACTGAAGTGTTGCTGGAGATCATCCAGCTCCTTATTGAAAAGAATTATTAGAGGTTTGTCGGGTTCTCCTGGTGGTATTCCCTTTTAGCTACAGAAATGCCTTGTTTTACATTAAATTATCGTGTCTTGTATCGAGAGGAGCGTGTGGCCTCTGCATTAAAGCCCTGACTCATCCCATTCACCTGTTGCTCTGAAGAATCTTTCCCTCACCTTTCAGAGCAAGCTTTTAATAATTCCAGCATTCCCATGCACCTCTTAAACTAGGACAGTGTATCTTTGTTTGGGCAAAGAAGGGCGTTAATAACCCCGACAAAATAAATTTATTGCTAGGTGTTTTTTCCGGAGTGCTAATACCCAGGAGTGTCTTTTTCAAATGGAGCAGGTTTTGGAGCGTCTTGTGTTCGGTTTAAATTTTATTGGTGAAGGAACAGCACTTATAAATCTTCTGCTATATACCCGTGGGCTGTTGATCTTTTAGACACGTAGAATACGATTTGTAACTTTGCATACTGAAACTAACCAAGAGTTGATTAAACTGTGGCTGTTGTATTTGAAAATGCAACATTAAGGCTTTTTTTCCTCTCCATAGCTAGTGTAAAAAAGACGTTGAAGCTATTGCAAGTACTTTTGTTTCTAATTATTAAAAATTACTTAAAATTACCTATTTCAGTTTAGAAGCACAAGGATGAAGCATGCTTTTCAGGCTCAGTGGGATCGTAAATGTTCATTTTATGCGCAGAGAGTTGATAACTCACGTCTTCACTAGTTTAATGGTCTCTATAAAAGCACCATGTGCTAGCGAAAATGCGATACTCTGTGCGAGTATCTCCGTTTCTTTTTGGATTTTTTTTGTTTTTAAAGAAAAAGAGGAGAAATGTGGCGATCCTCAGTGGTGCATGGCTGATGCAGGAGTGCAGCCCAGGGGTGTGCGGGTTCTCCTGCCATACATTTGGGGGATCCAGGCGATGTTGGAGCTGCGCATCCCCATCCCCATCCCCGCTGGGCAGGCTGGGTCCCGCCGGCGCTGTTCGCTCCCCGCCGTGATAAGCTCGGGCATGTTGGATCGCTAATAGGAGACGAGATAAACCCCAGCTTCCAGCGGCTCTGGTGGCAGTGCTTTAACTTCATTAAGGCTCTATTGAACAGTCCCTCCTTAGCAGTTTATCTTTATTCCTAACGAGTGCCACAATGCCGGGGCAACGCTCGGAGTCGGTTTTCAGCGTGTTGGAGATAAAGCTTTTGTTTGCCGGCTTGGAAATGCGGCTCGGCAGCCGGGGAGGCTTCTGGAACAGACTTAATCACGCCGCGTATTTTGTCAACAGGACTATCAGTACCGAGGAAAAGCACTTTTTGAAACTATTGTTGTTCCTCTGCTGGCAGCAGAGCTCGGAGTTGTCATTTTTTCTTCCGAGCTTTCAGAAGGAATAGCTGTTACACAGTCGCTCATATTTAATGTAGTGTAGAGTGGATGTTTTTCAGAGTTGTTTTTTATTTTTTTTTCATTAAAAGCAACAGGCAGCTCAGCACTGTGTAGCAGTTATATAAGTGTTCTTGACTTGCTGCACAGGGCACGTTGCAACACTGCCATGACCCATCCCGTGCTCGCAGCAGCACCAGCTGCAGCTGGGAAGGGGATCCTGGTCCTGGGAAAGGGTTCCTGGTCCTGGGAAGGGTGCACAGAGCTCCTTTGCAGTGCCTCCCTTTGGAGGTGCTTTAGTGTCTTGTGGTGTTTAAATCCGAAGTTTGTTTTTACAGTAGAGTGTTACATGTGGCATCAAGTTTAGGGCTAAGTTTAAGTGCAGAACTCTTCGTGCCCCAAAAAGCCAGGGCTTCAGCAGTGTTGGTGATGTGGCACATCCCCTGCATCCTCTGCTTCTGTCTCTCCATCAGCTTGATTTTTGAGGAGTGACAGAAGAGATATTTCCTTTAGGCATCATGTATGACTGAGGGGTTTTTACTTTTCTATTTAGTGATAAGCAACAGTAAAAGAAAAGCAACAGTATTTTAGCTACAGCTTTTGGTGAGAAGATTTAGGGACAGTGAGGCTATGGTTGGATAGTTAGCTAGCACGGTCTGCAGCAAAGAAAGTTTTTATTTTAAACAGAAGTATTGTAATGTGCATTTTTGACCCAAATGAGATATTTTGGGGAATACTGACCATCTGTGCATGGACCCTTCTGCCTCTGGGTCGGTGTGCATGTGCCTGGCATGTCTGGGAGATGGCAGCAGCCCCAGGAGAGCCGGGCTAAGAGCTGCTCTCTGTTTCCCAGGAAGGCTCCGGGGTTTGCTGTATGGATGAGCTGCCCCGAGGCACCAGCTGTGTGCGTGCTGGCTCTTTGCACGGTGCTGCTGCTCTCTGGAGAGACCAGGGCAAAGCGTCTGAATGCTTTTTAAAGTCCTGTGGGTGCCTGCCGGTGGTTTCAGGCTCTGGAAGTGCATTTGAACTAGGAGTCAGGAGCAGTCTCTCTCTGGGCTCAAGTGCATGCACACAAAGATTTTTGTTCAGTGAAACTTAATGTTTGTGCTCAAAATTACCTGTAAATTTCTTGCTAAACTGGGTGTCAGGTCCTGTAGCTTTGCTTTCACATGTTAAGGTAGCTTTGCTTGCTTGGTAAGGGGCTCTGTTGATGCTGGTTGCATGGGATTTTTTAAAATTTTTTTTTTGGGGGGGAGAGGGGCATAACTTGCTCTTGGGCTCTGGAGTAAGCCTGCTCCTGCAGATGCGGGAGGAGGAGTGGGGGACTCTCCTGCTGGGAGAGGGGAGTGCTGCTGGCAGTACCTCTCCTGCCCGTCCTGCTTCCAGGCCTGCTGAAATAATGGAACAAAGATTAAGTCATGGTCACCCTGGGCTCCTGCCCCGCACAGCTGCGCAGCTCTCAGCGTGTGCCGGCTGCCCGGGGGGTTTGGAGATGCCTTGGGACAGGGATGTGCCTTGGTGCAGGTGGCTGCTCCCTCTGGCCACCCAAACACCCTGCTGGGTGGTGCTCCAAGGGGGTTTTCCTGCTCTGGTGGGACATGCTGGGAGTTGGAGGTGCTTGTGGAAGAACTCCTGCATGGCTTGCAGTGCCACAGAGCTCTGGTGCTACCTGGAGCTCTGTCCTTGCCAAAGGTTCTGTTTGGGACAGTCCCAGGGCTGAGGGTGGCTCTGCACCCTCAGCATTGCAGTGCCACACATCTCTGGTGGTTAATGGAGCTCTGTCCTTGCCAGTGGCTCTGTTTGGGACAGTCCCAGGGCTGAGGATGGCTCTGTACCCTGCAGCATTGCAGTGCCTGCCCTGATGGGGAACAGCAGAGCCTCTCCGGGCCGGCTGTTTCAGCACAAATAAATACATGTGCCTGCGAGTAAATCCACCCTTCCTGTGCGAACATGTGTCGGTGGATTCGCTGACCACCCTCAGCATGCCGCAGTATTTATTTATCAGTTCCTACGGGAGGGCAGCAGTTAACACAAACCCTCTCTGCATCTGCTGTCTGAGCTTCTCATCTCCATCCCACACTGAGCCACGGCCGGGGCAGAAATTGGCTCATCGGACTAGGATTAAATGTAAATACGAGCCTGATGAAGGAAAAAAATAGCCCCACTTTAGAAGCCCTTCTGGCTCTGCAGAAGCCCCTGGCTTCTAGTGAAAAGCTTAGGACCTCCTCTGCATATTCCTGTCTCCTTTTGAGAAACTTCACAGCATTTAATCACTTTGAGACTTTTCCTCTCTGCAGTGACTGCAATTCGAAACGCAGGGGTCCCATACAAAAGAAGCAAGTGCTCAATGGGCTGTGTTAATATTCAGTGCCATTTACAATGGGTGCAGTTTGAAAAGGGGAGAATGGATGGTCTGGGAGCTGGGGGAGGAGGAGCTGCAGAGGGAAA